GATGCATTTGTGTTTCAGTGAATGAACTATGGATGAACTGAAGAAGAAGAGAAACATCAGAGGAGGACATAGAGCTTTTGCAACGCAGTTGATCAGACAGATTGAAGATAGTCTTGAAGATCAATTGAAGTTGAAGCAGCTTGAGATACAGCTAGATGAGAAATTTGAAGTCTTAGAAAAATTGGATGACGAAATTTTGGGTCTTGTAAGCGAAATTGATGAAGATGGTTTGGGATGCTTACAAGAAATTTCTGAGGCTGGAGAGATGAAGGAAAAAATAAATCTAGCGCTGCTCAAGTTGAAGAGTTTAGTGAAGAATGAGAAGCAGTTGGAATCGCGGAAGCCTAATTTAACAAGACATGGCTCAGAAGAATCAGTTTATTCTGTAGAAAGTTCAGCGTCGTCAGCAACTCGTAAAGTTCGTGCGAAGCTACCGAAGTTGGAACTGAAAAAATTTAGTGGCCGCCCCCAAGATTGGCAGGAGTTCTGGGATAGTTATAAAAGTGCGGTTTACGAAAACGAAGAGATTTCAAAGATTGACAAGTTTTCGTATTTGAAGCACTATTTGGAAGAGCCTGCCAAAAAAGTAATTGCTGGACTTGCTTTGACTGAAAAAAATTATGCCGTAGCTGTCGATTTGCTTGAACAGAGATTCGCGCGACCAACGACGATAAAAAGGGCACATATCAACGAGCTTCTGAATTTAGATGCGGTTTTTAATGAAAAACATGTTAAGAAGATGCGAGAACTTTATGATACTATTGAGACACACCATCGTGGATTGAAAGCCCTAGGAGTTGACGAAACATCATACTCGAACATAGTTGTACCTGTTTTAATGGACAAGGTTCCAGAGGCTGTTCGCCTGAACATGATTCGAGGAAGTAAGAATCACCAAGAATGGGATATGGAAGAAATGCTTGTGGCTTTTCGAGAAGAATTGGAGATTCGTGAACAGCATGTTTCGATTTCAATGGCTTTGGGAAATGGGACCGTTTCTGGTAGGACGTCATCAGAACGGCGCAGTGAGATGAAACCGAGGTTTCCTGGTCGAACAACAACAGCGAGTGCGTTGTTCACGAAACAAGATGGTGGATTTGTGAGAAGAAAGTTCTGTGTATTTTGCAAAGAAGATCATGAAGAAGCCGATTGTCACAACGTCAGGAACAAGGAAGAAAGGAAGGATCTTGTTTTTAAATATGGACGTTGTGTTTTGTGTTTAAAAAAGGGACACAGAGCTTATCAGTGTCATTCGAAGGAAAAATGTAAGTTGTGTAACAAACGACACCATGTTGCAATTTGTAATGTTGTTGGTAGTCAGCCTAGTGCTAACCAAGCTCGTGTCAAGACTGCTGATACTACTGTTACCACTTCTTGTGTAAGTAATATAGATTCTGGGGGGAGAGCAGTCTTGCAAACCGCCAAGGCCGTAGTTACAGGTAACATAAGGGATGTTAAGGCACGTGTTCTTTTTGACTCAGGTAGTCAGAGGAGTTTTGTAACACGAAGTATGGTAGAAAAACTTGGTTTAAACCCCATTAAGCAAGTGCGCTTAGGTATAAAGACCTTCGGATCTCAAAATATGGACGAGAAGATAAGAGATGTGGTCGAGTTAGAGTTGAAAGGAGTTGAAAGTGGAGGGAAAGTGAAAATACAGGCCTTTGTTGTTAATGAAGTTTCAGAAATACGCAATGAACATGTTGAAATATTGAAGTATGATTATAAGCATCTTACTAACTTGTGGTTTTCAGATGTTTGTAGGCACGAAGATTCCCTTATTATAGACATTTTAGTTGGAAGCGATTGGCTTTGGACGCTTCAAGATGGTCGTATAATACGAGGGGAGCCAGGAGAGCCTGTTGCCATTCATACTAAGATTGGATGGGTTGTGTCAGGGCCAATAAAGGGTAAGTTAACTGATTTGGTAGAATCTTGTTCTTCAAATTTGGTTGTAAATGGTAATGGTATAACAGTTAATTTGATGCACCAGAATAAGGAACAGGAATTAGAACAAGACATTAAAAAACTGTGGGATCTTGAGACTTTAGGAATTAAAAGGCAAGATAAGGTGCATGAAGAATTTTTGGATAATATAGAGTTTAAAGGAGATAGATACTCGGTTTGTTTGCCTTGGAAAATGGGGCACAAGCCCCTTTCTACTAATTATACTCTTAGTCTCAACAGATTGAAGGGGCAGTTGAAAAAGCTCAAGGAGAAGCCTGCAATAATGGAAACTTATGATGGTATTATAAAGCAACAAGAAAAGGATAGAATCATTGAAGAGGTTACAAGTCTTGAGCTAAGTGAGAAGCTTAGTTATCTGCCACACCATGCCGTTGTACGAAATGATGCAGAAACAACAAAGGTAAGAATAGTATATGATGCCTCTGCAAAAGATAGGAAGTCAGGTACCTCTCTAAATGAGTGTTTACATGTTGGACCACCATTAAATCCACTTTTGTTTGATATCATGATAAGATTCAGAGAAAATAAGATTGCAATAACATCTGATATCGAAAAGGCATTTTTGAATATTGAAGTGGATAAAAAGGATAGAGATTGCTTGAGGTTCTTATGGGTTGATAGTTCTTGTGATAGTGAACCAAACATTAAAGTTTACCGCTTTAATCGTGTTGTTTTCGGAGTAAATAGTTCTCCTTTTTTGTTGAATGCTGTTGTAAGACATCATTTAAGCACTTATGAAACAGCTGATCCAGAGTTCTCAGCAAAATTGTCTAGAAGTTTCTATGTAGATGACCTAGTGTTAGGATGTTATGATGTAGAAAGTGGTAAAGAACTCTACAATAAGGCAAAGAAAAGAATGTTAGAGGCAGGATTTAACTTAAGGAAATGGAAGAGTAATGATCCACAACTTGCTCAATATTTTAAGGTTATGGAAGAAACTGGGAAACATCCTGCAGATGGAGGGGGTGAATGTAGCTATGTAAAGGAAATGCTAGGGGAAGAAATTTCAGACACTAAGAGTAAAGTTTTGGGAATAACATGGGATATGTTGAAGGATAATTTGGAATTTGAGTTGACAAAAATAGAGAACGAAGTACGGGAACAGAATGCTTGTGAATTTTCACCTATTGTAATTTGTCCTAATCGCGTCGTAGAACCCCAGCGTAGGAAATCTAAACGCGCAGCAGGTCAGGATTCGCAGTGGAAAACCCGTTTGATGCTTGACTCTTAACGAGTCAAGGAGGGGAGTGTGTTCGGGTTTTCACGTAAAATTTCATTGCGTAGTCGATTAAGGTTTTGGTTTAGTGTAATTAAGCCTTAAAATGTATCTTGTGACTTGGTGACGCAGCTTTTCTGTTTACCATATTTTCTAATTGCTTCGATTATAATAATTACACTTTCGTTTGAGCCAACTGACGTAAATTGAATAGAGCATCGTCATTGGTAGTTTATTTTGGATTAATTAGTTTACAGTATATATATAGAACGTTGAGATTTGTTATTGCGTGCGTGCAACTGGGGGTGGTTGTGCGAACCCAGCTGTGATTTGCTGAATAATATGAAATGTGAAAAGCTCAAATGACTTTTTCTTCAGTGTTTTCTCTGGAATACAAAGTTTAAAAAGAATCAGCAAGATAGATCCTGAGAGGTCTAAAAACACCTGAACAAAGGACAAATGAAAAAAGGGATATGAATGTTTGCATCCAAAAATTAATAAGCGGGTAGGTCCAAATAAGCTCCGGTGGGGTCAGAAAAAAATCGAAAAATTAATAAGCGTCCCCCCTTCTATTAAGGACCTTAGAGTACCCGTTTGGGATCGCTTTTGAGAATGGTATCCGATCCCAAAAAGGTCTTCTGTAAACGGTTGTTCTCGGATCTAAACAGGTACGGATGCAAAATAAGGCGGAAGATGTCCATTTCGAGGAACTTCGTAAGAAATTTATTGTTTCGAATCTTTAGACTGTTTCGAATTTATCCTCAGCAATCAAATCTATTTATCAAAATGTCTGCTTTTTCAAAATGCATTAAGAGATTGATTAAGGACCAAAGAGCGAAGATTTTGGTTGGACTGATGAAGAGACGGCTCTACTACTGAAAGTTGTGGTGGAAAATTAAGTAAACAAAATCCAAGGAGCATCTTATGCGGGCAGACACAATAGCCTTCAGTCGCTATAAAGAATCAATTTGCGCATCGTGAATCCATACGGATCCGATACCGTGTGAACGCAAATATTTTCAGATCCGATCCTCCTCAAAAAACACCCCCTCAAACCATCCCCTCGAACACCCCCTCAAAAATGAGTTCGGATCCAAATGGATCCGATACTGTTTGGATCCGATCCTGTGTAAACAGGGCCTTAACATACAGACAATACTTTTATAATGCGTTTAGTAATAACACACTTTTAATCCTGTTAAGTTATATTGTTAGATCAGGTACCCAAAAGTATCAGATCACAAGGAAAACTCTTACACATAATTATCGGATAGACCCACCTGTATATTGAATTTTAAGTGGCCCCCCTGGGTGCACATTGAAATTGTGTATTGTCACTATCAGAACTTTAACTTAAAGACTATATTTTATTACCTTAATCTTGTATTAAAGTTTTTGAGCATTCTGATTTTGGATTCGGAGAAGTATCAATTTGATATGTTTTGAAGCAAATTGTGATATTAGGTAATGAAAATATGGCTCAAGAAACATGTCCCAGCGCTAGTTCGCTGTAACCTAAAATTTTTTTGTCCCCTCTGCTTACACGCAGATTATGCTGGCAGCCTCATGAAAAATATTTCTGTACTTTGGTCTTTGTGACAAAAATAGAGCGAAATTTTATGACCGTAAATAATTCATAGCTGTTTTATCAAAACTGTTCCCAATTTATGTATATTTTATACACTATTTGATGTACAAACCAGGATGGTTCAAATCTGCCTATACGGCAACGAACACTTTACACGCTTTTTTTTTTATAAGGAACCTAGCTCGGGCCTAGTTCTTTAAATTCCTTATTTTGAGACCTGTTTTGACCACTTTGTAGTTCTAAAAGTTCCTTAATAGTTCCTTAATTTTAAGTTGGCATTTAGTGGACAATAATTAGTACAGACGCAAGAAAAACAATCAAATTCAGCGTTTTGCTATAAACTTAAGAAAAGATAACAAGTTAAAACACAAAGAAGCTTCATATAATATAAAATTAATAATAATAGTCATTAAAGAAGTTGCATATCCACTCCATTGATGTCGTCTGACACAATGTAGTCTTCAGTACCGTCTTCGAAAAGAACTCTAAACACTCCCAGCTTGGTGTTGAACCACTTCACTTGTCCAGTGTGCCATTCGTCGTAGAATGCGCGTATTTTTTTATTAATCAACTCATGTTCGTAGACACGATCTTTTACATGGTCTACTCTTTCATGCTCAAGCTCGTCAGGCTCAAGTTCTTCATCCCCTTCATCTTCTTCGTCACTTACATCTTCCTCACAGGCTGCTGAGGCCTCTGGTATTTGTACAGACAGTGGATTTTCGG